GGAGAGTGTCCTGGTGGGGCACTGTGGGTTAATGTGTCAGACTGCAAAGCAGTTTGAACTGCAAGGCCGATGGTTCAAGCTCACCAGCTGCTCCTCAGAAACCCTATACAGGGTCTCTTTGCTATGGGTCAGAAACAACTCAATGGCACTTAACAACAACATATATACACACACACATACACACACACATATATATATACATATACATATACATATATGCTTAATATATACATATATATTAAGTTCTAACAATTATAAAAAGATGGAAGACCTGTTCAAAAAAGTCTTTGAAATAAAACATCTGACTGTATTAAAAATTGTTCCTCCTATCATTTTTGGAATCCTCTTGCTGAGGAACTTTCACTAAGGCTAAATTACCTAGGAGGCTTGATGTAGCACTGTAGGATAAACATTGGACTTTTAACCACAAGGTCACTGGTTCAAACCCATCAGCCACTCTCTGAAGCCCTGTACAGGGTCTCTATGAGTCAGAACTGACTTGACCGTAAAAAGTATATTGCCTTAAAGAATATCTCATGCATAAGACCTCATTATGATGCACAAGAATATCCACACCACACGTATATATCTTAATACTGACTTGATTTGTTTTCCAGAGGAAGCAAATGGAGATTTCCATCCAGATTTCTAAATCATTTATTTGTTCCCAGTATTTTAGCAATGGGGAAATAGCATAGACTCCCTGTCCTAGTAGCTCAGTTTATGATACTGGATGATTCGATGTCAAGTTGAATCATGCTTAAGGAGAAGGGATGTAATAATTAAATACTAAAAAGACACCTCAAAGCACCTCTTGGAGCCCTGGTGTGGCGCTGTGGGTTAATGGGCTAGACTGCAAGGTTGGTTTGAGCCTCAAGGTCAGCAGTTCAAGCTCACCAGCCACTCCTTAGAAATTCTATACAGGCTCACTGAGTTGGTACCAACTTATCAACACTTTAACAACAACAAGATAATGTTACTGCAGGACTTGGACATGTTATATATCATGTGAGCGTTCCAGGCCTTTGCTTCCTACCAGTCCTTTGCTATTGGTACTCGTCAGTTTTTGAAGCAGCATCAATTCCTTTAAAAAGGAAAGAGACAGGAAATGAAACTCCAACCAGTCCTTTTTCTTCCCTCATTTTGAGCTGATTTTGGTACAATAAAGTATAAGGTTGTCGTTTTTAATAAATGAAGTTTACTAACTTCCTGTAGCTCTCATTTGTCTCTTTTTTCCTTGCTGTCCTGGCTAAGTCAGAATTGGCCTGTAAAAGCTGCATTTGAACATTAAAGTCTAAATCTGTTCAGCTAGCTTACACTAGATGGAGATATTTTCATATGCAAATACACTGTAATATATGATCTGCCCGTGCGTAATCGAGTCGAGTGTTTGAAAATACTTATTTTTAATAGCATCTTTAGTTGTTGACTGGTTCAAGTTTTTTCCTACCAATAATTTCTCCAGAGTTATAAAATATCTTCCCACCATGAAATTAAATGCCTTGGTAGTCACACATCCCTGAAGTTTGTAACGACGGTGCTTTTTTTACACACCAGCTTAAACAAACGGTGTATCATCTTCCATTTATTATATAGTTTAACTGCAGGCTTAAGTTTATGAATTCATGGCTAACTATATTGCTACCTTCAAAAGTTTATCGGAATGTTGTAAATTTTTACTTTTAAGCTTAACAGAGCTATGAGCTACTCCACAATTAGAATTCAGGAAAGGAAGATCTTCGCTAGGAAATCATTGGAAATTTAACAATACAGCATTCAGTGGGTACTGATTTCTAAGAATGATAATCACAATAGACACACAACAGTGTTCTTCATGGTTTTCTCCAGGAATTAGTGTGAAGAGCACAAATGATAAAGATGGCTTATGACAATCTAGCACTGGTAGGCAGGACTAACCAACAGCCCACCATTCTTTCCTTTTCTCTTAAATTTAATGAGTGTTTTGTAGGTAACAACAAAGCAAACTTGTGTTTGTATTGCAAGGAAAGAAGGCTGCCTAAGGGGCTAACTGTAGATGTTTTTTTCTTTCTCTGCCTAATGAAGTGAAAAATGAAACTGCCTGAAGTTTTATGCAACCTAATAGTAACAGTATAAGCTAAGTAGGAAGTCTCCCCAAAATTGCATTATGAAGGTATCTGCTGTGAAAGTATTTGAGAAGACGATGCTAACTCTCTTGGTATTTTCTGTAGGAACCCCGGAGCAGAATACAGTGTGCAAAAGATGTTCAGATGGCTTCTTCTCAAATGAAACATCATCTAAAGCCCCTTGTAGAAAACATACAAATTGCAGTGCATTTGGTCTCCTGCTAATTCAGAAAGGAAACGTGACGCATGACAATATATGCGCTGGAAACAGTGAATCAACTCAGAAGTGTGGAATAGGTAATTATGTTTGAAAATCTAAGCCTTTGCTGCATTTTTATAGCATCACTTTGAGTTTAACACAAGACCTTCTGGCCACCTGCTTTGTCAAATTCAGTTTCCTGTTTTTGAGTTTTAACTCCCTAAAACTGTTCTCTGTTCATCTTTGAGAAAGGCACCACTCAAAGTCCTTAAAAAATTTCTCAGCATCTCACAGTTCACACTCCAAGGACCTTGGTGGTGCACTGTGTTAAGCTTTGGGCTGCTAACCTAAAGGCCAGCAGTTCGAACCCATCAGCTGTTCTGAGGGAGAAAGATGAGACCGTTTGCTTCTGTACCAAGATTTACAGCCTTGGAAGCCCAATGGAGCCATTCTGCTCTGTCCTGGAAAATCACTATGAGTCAAAACCAACATGATCCCAGTGGGTTTGGGTTTCACACTCAAACCACATATCTCCCAGGGAGAAAGGACACTGTAAAGCTTAATGATTGAGGCCAAATGAACAGAGTCCAAATGTAGAATTTCTAAAGTAATGTACTTTTTTTTTCTTTCTTTCAAGAATGCCTGTCTTATTAGCCAAAGTATAAATTGGTAATTAAGAAGTAAAGTGACATAAACTGGTGACTAGTTAGAAGTGTATGGTTGGCTTAGTAATGGAATTACTGCATCTGTAATGTAGTAATGAAGTTCCAGATGCCCTCTGGTGTCTTAGATGCTTGACCCACTGTGGTCACTGTTACCTTCCATTTCCTGTGTAGCCTAGTTACAGGGTTATGTGTCTGTATCTGTGGCCAACTGTATTGCTACTTTCCAAAGTTGCCTCTCTGCAACTGGGCACATTGCTGTAGGCTCCCACCACTAGACTCATCTCAGAGCTTCTACTCAAAGACTTAGAGCACTGAGGAGGACTGGGAGGATCAGACTGCTCACGACATTGTATGCATTCAATCAAACAATGTCATAAAGCGACTTGACTCTCCCCAAACCTTTTTTTTTCTTTTTTTGATGTTTTATTGTGAATTATGTGATAGTTTACATGGGAGAACATTGGTTTTACATTCATCCTATCCTATATCTTTCATTGCCATGGTTACAATCCCCTCCATGCATCATCAACCAATCAAAGGGTATGACCCTGACCACCCCTGCCCCCTCCCCCCCCGGTCGTCAGCACACAGCCCCTCTCGCCCTGTCTGGGTCTAGAATCCCCAGCCACTCCATCTCTCCATGTCATTGTCTCAGCCTCCATCTCAGGCATCATTGCTTCTCCGGGTAGGATACCGCTCTCCGCTCTTCTCCCTTGATGGTCCCAGGGACCTCCACTCCTAGACTGCAAAGTTAATGATTCCCCTCCTTGCTACAAAACATCTACCTTTACATTTCAAACCCTCACAATCAGTCCTGATAACAATTATTCACTATTGTATCACAAGAGATCTAGCCGCATTTCCTTTCATCAGCCCTGCCTAGACAGATACTCAGTGGAGATTCTACCTTCCTCCTCACCCTCTGGATCTAGGTTCCCTCTTGAAAGCTTGTAAGCCAGTTACATCTTGTCTTTGTAGCACCCCACTTTGGGTAGCCAGTGTCCAAGTTGCTCATCCCTGTCTACTCTGTGTATGGAGGGGTGGGAATGATCCTTGCTGTAAAGATTTGTTTCCTCTTTTGAGCTACTGCATCCATAGGTGTGGGTCAAGTTCATCAAATTGTATCAGATTACTCTTTTTTTCTCTCTCTCTCTTCTTTCTTCTTCTAGTTGAGCTCTGATCATCCAGTCATTGAAGCCAGGTCAAGTGGGTATTATCTGCAAGTGTGGGTGTTCTTATGCATATGCCCTCTCTTCTTATCAGCTGGATGCTTCTCTCTCCACTCTAGTCCTCTGTGGTTATGTCACTGACTCTGGGCCCAGGAGTCCCCAGGTCTTGCCACACTGCTGGACAACCAGGTCTCCACACGGGTTCACAGGAGTCTATTGAATGTTGTTTGGCTTAGCTTGCAGCTTCATTGCTGTTTTTCCCTCACTTCCCTTTATCGGTGACGAACGTGGTCACTAATCAGAGCATGTATTCCCATTGAGTCTTAGTCTTGGAAGGGGGTTTGCCCTGAGGGGACCTGACCCCTTGCCTTGATGTCTCCTGAGTGGGCAACTTGCTTGTTCTTGTAGTAGTCAGTCGGTCTGCCTATATTGTTTTGTATTTTTCCTGTCGGTCTTTCTTTCAAGAAGTATCTTCTGTTCCTCTTAGCTGCTCCAGGTTGGTCTTCCGTCCTTTCAAGTGGAAATTTCCCATCTCTGAAGATTCTGGATGCTGTTCAGGATTCCACTTATAGTCTTATGTAATGCAGAGGCTCTGCAGGAAACCTCCTTCACTGGGCACGTTGTGGCCCCATTTTAGATATTACAATCAGTTATAGGCAGAAGACGGACTTACAAGATTTCTATGGTGTTGTTTCTGGTTATTTCTTTCTCTCCCCCTCAAACATCTTTTGGTTCTATATACAAATATGGATTGGAAGATTTAGATCCAACCCAGTGTCAACCTATTCTTATTATGCAATGAACACATCAGACAAATCATTTCAATATTTTACACAATGTGTGCTTTATATATTTTTGGCCAAGCACACTATGCCAGAATTGTTTTATTTTAACTTTATCATTTCCACACATTATCTGTATGGGCATGTTATTTACAAAAACTAAGATAGCTTTTCTGTTTTCTTATATGAAGAATGAGATGAAGGCAAAGGTAATAAGAGGAATGAGTTGCAGGCATCTTCTAATTCTCTATCGTTATTAAATCCCTTTCTTATGTTTTATCATTCATCAGGCATGTATGATGTGTCAGGTACTTTACTGTGGGCCTGATTCTTTATAAAACTCTGTGAAGCTTACTGAGGGTCTCAATAGATGATGAGTGGCAGAGTCAGGATTTAATTTCAGACCTAATACATCCAACTCTTAAACTCTGGGAGACATTTACCCTACCCAGACACCCAGGACATTGTGTGTCTGGGTAGGGTAAATGTATTTGTGCTTGATTATTTTCCAATTTGATCTATGTTTGCACGTGTGTATTCATGTCGTCTGTTCCCCAAGGTAATCTGTGTGTTTGTGTACATGCATAAACGATTACTCTAGATTCTTCTCCAGTACTTTTAAAGGCAGAGATGTTTGTTTTGACAATTATTCTGAAGTACCCTGTGAGTACTAGGAAAACCTTTAGTAGAATGTAATATTTACATTAAGTTGCATAATTCATTTTTCACTGCAGTTTACCTATACCAATATTATCTTTGACATTTATTAAGCTTGTACCCCAAAATGTTTATGTTTCCAAAGAGAACTTTAGAGAAAATATGAATGAACCCAGTTGGATAGACATTCAGCCAACAAAAGGTTGATTTTGTTCAAACTCTGCATTCTAGCAAATTATGTCTTGGCAAAACTCAATTGCATTGCTTTCTTATTTCTGTTAATGTCCATTAGACTTCCAGTAATTCGATAGTAGAATAAGCCTTCTTGGTTTCCTCTTTCATAGATATCACCCTGTGTGAAGAGGCATTCTTCAGGTTTGCTGTTCCTACAAAGTTAACCCCAAATTGGCTCAGTGTCCTGGTAGACAATTTGCCTGGCACCAAAATCAATGCCGAGAGTGTCGAGAGGATAAAACGGCAACACAGCTCACAAGAACAGACTTTTCAGCTGCTGAAATTATGGAAGCATCAAAACAAAGACCAAGATACGGTAAAGAAGATCATCCAAGGTTGGTAGCCTAGGATAAAGTCAATTCAAAATCAGAGACCCTTTCTCATCAAATATAAACAAGACTATGGGCTTATTGAGTTGTGTAGATGCTGCTTCCTTTTGGAATCATTCTTGGACTGAGAAAAGTTTCTACTTGTAATAGTGTGGATGCCATTCATAAGCAGTCTTGCAAGGTTCCATGACTTTGCCCCTCCCACATTTTTTCGTTTTGTTCTGGTGCTGTGGTTGTGGTTGTGGTGGTTGTTGTTAAGTGTTTTGGAAAGCTCATGGAATATTCTAAAAGAAAAGATAAGACATTTTAAATATGGGCCTAGGTATCAGAACTTTTGCTTTCAGACTCCTTAGATGTTTGATTAGTATCCCTTCTGGTCAACCTAGGAGAAGTCCTTTAGCCACTTTGGATCCTCGCCTGCATTTTCTGTGTTATATTTATTTGATAATTTTCTTCAGAGAGGGCCCAGGTATCTTACAATATCCTCTCATTAATCCTCACAACATAGCCTATTTTAAAATTACCATTTTAATAGCATATGTTGTACGGATTAATGAGATAAGATCTGAAAACTACTTGAGCTTCTTGTAGAAAGGAGCTAGTTTAAAACCAAGTGCTCTCATATTTTAGGAGGCTTGTAAAGAATCTCCCTTAGAAATGATGAGAGAGAATGAGACAAAGTGAGAGGAGTGTGAGTGAGTGAGTTTGTGTGTGTCTAGAATTGAAAAGAATCCAAAAGGAAACTGTAGGCTTCGTTAGTATCATGTGAACTGTAAACTTTACCATATAACGTGGGAAAGAGTCAGAATTGGGAGACAAATGAAGATTTTCCTAATACGGATGGTGTCAATGAGAAACTCAATCTGTTCTTCACAAACAGCTAAGTTGCTATGTAGTCCCTACATTATCCTAAAGGCCTCAACATACAAAACGGAGACAACAGATATTAAGAGTAAAACATTTGACAGCTGAATGCTTTTGCTTGTGCAAAACGGTAAACTTTGAAAAACTTTTCTTTGAAAGTGTCATTAGACCTGAAGCAAAAAGAAAAGGAAGTAGAGAGTCAAAGACTGGTTGAATCTGAAGGTGCCAAATTCTGCATTTTATAAATGAGATTAAGTCAGCCCAGGAAGATGAACGACCTCACTGTAGGGCTCACAGATATTAAGTGACACGTCATTAAGAAAAACTTTAGTTACTCATTCTCAGGTTCATGGCCTAGCTCATCACTGACGTATTCTCTAGGCTGTGTACATCCTCCACTTCCTTGTTGTTGTCGGTGTTGGGTGCCTTGCCGCTGAGTCAATTCTTTACTCATAGCGACCCTGTGCACACCACAACAAAACACTGCCCAGTTCTGCATCATTCTCATATTTGTTGCTATGTTTGAGCACATTGCTACTGCTACTGTATCAGTCCATCTTGTTGGGGGTCTTCTTTTTATCCTACCCTCCACTTTACAAGCATGATGTCCTTTTCTAGGAATGTCCCTCCTAATAACATGTCTGAAGTATGAGATGAAGTCTGGCCAGCCAGGCTTCTAAAGAGCAGTCTGCCTATACTTCTTCCAACACAGATTTATTATTTATTCTGACAGATCATGGTACTTTCCATATTCTTCTCCAATTCCATAGTGGTAATTCTCTGATGCTATGTTATTTATTAAAGGATAGCTGAAGCAATTAACTCTTTTCAAATAATGTGTATGTTAGGTATATTAATGAAAGTAGAAGATTTCAATTTCTGAAAGTATGCTGACTTTTCTTAGAGAATTGATAATGTGTCTGCAGTTTTCTATTGTTAATTTTTCAAAATTAGGTGCTTCTAATAAAGCTTTGGAGTCCTGGTGTGGCACTGTGGGTTAATGAGCTAGACTGCTCGTCAGTTTGAACCACAAGTTCGGTGGTTTAGGCTCACTGGCCTCTCCTAGGAAACACTATACAGCTTCACTAGGAGTCAGAACTGACTTGATAGAAGTTAACAACAGCAACAATAAAGCGTTAGGAGACCATGATGGCTCCATACAATAAGCACTGGACTGGGAACCACAAGGTCAGCAGTTCTAGTACACCAGCCCCTCATGTGAGTGAGAATGATTAGGTTTACTTCTGCAGATTTAAAATCTCAGAAACACTATTAGACTCAACAGCACTTCACATCAACAATAAAGCTTTGGAGTCCTTGGATGGCACAAATGATTAACTCAATTAGTTGCTAACCAAAAGGTTGGAGGTTCAAGTCCACAGATGACTAAAATATATAGCATATTTTCCTATTGCAATGCAAAATAATATTTACCTCAGTTCTCAGAAAGTGTCACTTAAGCACCGCTGCCCCGCCCCCCGAAAAAAAAAGAAAGGTTTTCCTTTAAATAAAATTATGAAACCTTGGGAAAACTTTTTGCCTCAGGCTGGTTTTATGGTGGCATTGTTGTTGTGAAATATCATCAAGTTTGTTCCAACTCAGTGACTCTCATATAGGGTTTCTGAGGTGTAGCTGGCAGTTTTAAACCACCACCTTTGTGGTTAGCACTTTCAGTATCTATTTTTCAGTGCCACACAGGTAAATAGAAATCACCTTAACTTCTCTTTGGGCCTTTGCTCTCTACAGATATTGACCTTTGTGAAAACAGTGTTCAGCGGCACATTGGACATGTCAACCTCACCTTAGAGCAGCTGAGAAGCTTAATGGAAAGTTTGCCGGGGAAGAAAGTTGGAACAGAAGATATTGAAAGAACAATGAAGGCATGCAAATCCAGTGAACAGATACTGAAGCTGCTCAGCCTGTGGAGAATCAAAAATGGCGACCAAGACACCCTGAAGGGCATGATGCACGGACTGAAACACATGAAAACATACCACTTGCCCAAAACTGTCACTCAGAGTCTGAGAAAAACCATCAGATTCCTTCACAGCTTCACAATGTATAGATTGTATCAGAAGCTATTTTTAGAAATGATAGGGAACCAAGTCCAATCAGTAAAAATAAGCTGCTTATAACTGGGAATGGTCATTGGGCTGTTCTCTCACTATGAGCCAGATCTGATGGGTGTGTAAGCTGTTTCTCAGGCACTTAACGGGGTAGAGAGACTCCTTTCTCATCACAAATGACTCCATTTTACCCAGGGCGCTAAAAGAAACCGTGCTGTGGAGAAAGAACTAGCATTCCCCCAAAGTTTATTAAACCCCAAATAGCTTATCCACCTGTCAGATTTGGTCCAATATCTACTGACTATATTTTCCCTTATTACTGCTTGCAGTAATTCAACTGGAAATAATTAACTAGACTCCATTGTGCTTAACTAAATATGGGAATGTTTAACTTAAAAAGCTTTGAGGTTTCAGCAGTGCTAGAGGCTTTTATTAGAAAGCCCTTTTTTTTTTTTTTGTTCCGTAAAAGTTACTAATATATCTGTAACACTATTTCAGTATTTGCTATTTATATTCATTCAGATATGAGGTTTGTACATATTATCATCCTAAAGGGAAATTGTGTAAGACGTAATTTCAGAAAGAAAAAAAAATTCTGTTTATTATTATGACAGATGAAAGAGAAAAAAATCTATTTTTGAATGGAAAATGTGAAGCATTTTCTAATAGATACTGCAATTCTTCCTATGTGGAGTGTTTTTATAATATAATTTTATCTGTATAAGCTGTTATATCATTGTATAGAAAATGCATTATTTAGTCAATTGTATAATATTGGAAAGTGTATGAAATATAAATTATCTAAATATTAGATGCTCTGAGAAATTGAATGTACCTTATTTAAAAGATTTTTTTGATTTTATTATATAAGCAACATCATTAAAGTTTTCAAATTATTTTTCATTGCTTTTTCTCTTGTTTTTATTTGAATGGAGCGTTAATGGACTTAGCTTTCACAGTTATCTGTGTACTTTTACTCTTGGACCATCGGGAAGATGTTTAAAATGCAGATTCCTTGACCAATTTATTCAGCAACTCTGAATAGACAGTAACTGAGTCCTGGTGTGGCACTGCAAATTAATGTGCAAGACTACAAGTTTATTTTGAACCACAAGGTCAGTTTGAAATACAAGGTTGGCAATTCAAACTCATCAGCTGCTCCTCAGAAACCCCTATACAGGGTCACTATGATTCAGAACCGACTCAACTCCACTTACCAACAACAACAAAGTAATTCTTAATACACTAAAATTGAAGAACTTATGAAGTAGGTTTGCCATTACAAGTTGTGTAACCCATTTGCCACTAATATTGAATTCAATCTTGTTAAGTTCTTCTGGCTGCAAGCAGTAGAACCTGACACAACTGAAAGAAAAAGAGAAAATGAATTACAGGGGTTGTGAGCTGAATGGTATCCTCCCAAAATATATGTTCACATCTTGCTCACCAGAACTTGTGGATTCGGGCTTACTTGAGAAAAAGGCCTTAACCAAAGTTCTTATAAAGGATCTTCAGACAAGAAGACGTTCTTGGATTATCCAAGTGGTCCTTAAATCCAATGACAAGTGTTTTTTGTCAGAGACACACAGACAAAGTAGACCAAAGAGAAGGTGATGTGAAGATAGAGGCAGACTTTAAATACTTAGATGTAATGTGATACTTCAGACACACTGTGGTTGTGAGGGGCTATTTAGCCTATTCTGATTTATACTGACTATGATAAGCACTAGCCTGCAAACCACAAGGTCTGCAGTTCGAGGCTGCCAGCCACTCCATTAGAGAAAGATAAGGCTTTCTGCTCCTGCAAAGATGTAAAGCCTCAGAAGCCCTGGACGGGGTTCTTAGGAGTTGGAACTGACTCAGTGGTATTTAAGAATAACAACAACAAATCTGCAACTGAAGGAAACAATGTTCATCCTCAACCATCCTCACAATTACTGGCATAGTTGAATCCATTGCTGTAGCCATTGTATCAATCCGTCCCATTGACGTTCTTCCTCTGTTTTATACTTAACAACAACTTTACCAAGAATGGTGTCCTTGTCTGGGAACTCAACCCATCTGATAACATGACCAAAGTACAGGAGACAAAATCTCACCATCCTCAATTCTAAGGAACATTCTGTCTGTATTTCTTCCAAGACAGATTGCTTGTTCTTCTAGCAGACCATGCTATATTTTATATCTTCACCAACATAATTTGAATGCATGAATTCTGCTTTGGTCTTTCTTAGTCATTGCTCAGCTTTTGCATGCATATGGGCAACTGAAAATACCATGACTTGAGTCGGACACATCTTAGTCCTCAAAATGACTAAAATGATAGTTGATACATCATGGCACCCCCCAGGGCAGAGTGGAATAGTTCCATAGGGTCTCTGACACTGTCAGTCCTTCAGATGAACAGAAAACCTCATCTTTCTCCCATAGCAGCCAGTGGGTTTGAATTGCCAACATTGTAGCAATCACCAGTGCTCCTGAGAGTTGATACACTTTTATTAAAATATATCATCTTGCTTACAATTTTCCATTTATTGTATCGATTCTTTGGTTTCTTTCTCCTGTTTTCTGGAACACTGGTGTGGCACTGTAGGATAAGTACTCTACCATAAGGTCGGTTTGAACCACAA